AATTTTCCAATCAGACATATGATAACACTTTCTGGACACACGCAAGGTGGATCGAATAACCCTAACCTGTTGGAAAGGAGAGAGAGATCGATGGAGAGATTGATTGAAGGAAGAAGACCTAACGTGTTCAAAAGAGATCAATCGAAGAAGCCCTAACCTAAGGTGTTCTTCTTCGTTTTCTTTATTTTGCTTCTTCTCTCTCTTATCTCTCTGTATTCGTCTTCTCTCGTTCTTCTTTCCTCCTCTTGCTGGTTTCAGTCTTCTCCGCCTCTCTCTTTTGTTTCTCGCTTTTTCTAATTCACCCATCTTTATTTGCTTCTCTCTCTCCTCCCGCCCGCCGGTTTCTCTCACTTCCTTGTATTTCCTGATTTCGTCTCTCCTCCCTTTTTGTTTATTTTTTCTTTTTTTATCCTTATTTTTGTAACCTAAAGTTCATAGAATAAATTATTTTTATTTTAAAAAAATTTTTATAAAGGAAATGTGTTTATTAATTTTATTATTATATGTAATTGTATTGGAACCAATGATTTTTTTTAATTTTAGACATATAATAAATTTATGATATAATCGTTCAGCGTGTCCGTGTCATTTTTTTGAAAATTTATCTTGTCTCGCGTGTCCGTGTCGAATGTCCGCCGTTCCGGTCGTCGTTCGTGCATCGTGTGTGTAGAGATACTGTAACACCGTCCTTACATTACAACTTTTACAATATTTAATAACTTCCGTTCTTAAATACAAAAAACCACCAAAAGTTTACCAACAACCAGAAAAAAAACGAATCTCAATGATCCAAACTCAAAGAAAAAACCGTTATATGAATTTTTTATTTTTTATAATTTTTATTTCATTACACTGGCATGTAAAATAAATAATATATAACCAGTTGTTGTATTTATTTTTATAATCATTTCATTTAATATTTAGTTGTAAATATTTTTTATTTTGTTATTGTAATGTGTAGCCTAAAAAATGTCTTTTAAAAAAATAAATAAAATTAGTAGCTCAAAAATAATTTTTATTTATGGTACAATTTTTATTTTTATAATCATTTCATTTAATACTTAATTGTAAATAATTTTATTTAGTTGTAAAGTGCTGTCTAAAAAATGTCTTTTAAAAAAAATGGGCATTTACACACAATTCACAATTTATGAACTTATACTCCATTAAATCCTAATTAAGATTTTTTGGACCTTCAAGTCCCATTAAATTTTTAATAGTAGGAATTGCTCTTCAAACAATGATTGTTTATTATTTATGATTATCTATAAAGGAATATAATGATTTAACATTTATTTTGAATTTCAAAATTTTAAAATATCAACTTTCAAATTGAAAAAACTAAAAACAAATTATGTGCAAAAAAAAAAAAAAAAACTAATCAGTGTGTTTGGTTTTAGTTTTCTAAAAATTGAGAATTTGTTTTTTTTATTTTTTTTTGTTTTTAGTGAATATTTTTAAAATTTTAAGCTTTTTTTTTTTTTTTTACTTTTTTAGATGCACCTTACTTAAATGTATCTAAAAAGTAAAATATTTGTGAGAAAATATTTTAAAAATTAATAAATACACAAAAATATGAAAAAATATACTGAATTTTTGTTTTGTTTTGTTTTGTTTTTTTTTTTTTTTCATATTTTTGGTATTTAGTGAATTTTTTAAAAAAAAATTTCATGATACTTTTTTAGTATATTTATGTTAGGTGTATCTAAAAATTAAAAAAAAAATTGCTTAAAATATTTTAAAATTTCAGTAAAAACAAAAAAAATACGAAAAATAAGAAAGTAGAATTTTTTGAAAAATGTTTTCAAAAAACTGGAAACATAGTGAATGTTTTTTTTTTTTTTTGAAAAAATTGAATTATTTTTTTGTGCAAAATTGAAAATTTTGTGTCTATAAAGGAGCATGATAATGGAACATTGATGTGCAAAATTGGGGAAAAAAAATTAAAATGAAAAAATTGATAATATGCTCAATTTTAAAACTGAAAAAATATTGATAATGTTCTCGGTTTTATTAAATAGTTGAATCAAACCAATAAGTAGAAGAGCAAAAACTTTTAATCTCATACTCTTTTTTTTATCAGTTAGTGAAACAATTATTTGGAACATTACTATGCAAAATTAATAATGTTTTTAGTTTTAAAAATTGAGAAAAACTGATAATATTCTCAATTTTATTAAATAGGACTTATTGGTTCAAAAAATCTTAGATAGGACCTGAGCTACTATAACATTTGTAAATAGGACTTTTAAGTAATTAATTCTAAAAAAATCAATAGCTCAAAAATAATTTTTGTTTATGGCACAATTTTTATTTTTATAATCATTTCATTTAATAATTGTAAATATTTTTTATTTAGTTAGTTCAGGTATTGGTAAGAATAATTTTGTAGGCATTTAAAATTATTTATTTTTAAATTCATTAACTATTGAAATTAAATGTAAAAACTCCTTTTATAGTGATTTAAAAATATGAATTATATTGGATCATACTTTAAAACTAATAAAAATTTATCAAAATCTATTTTAAACCCCAACAAATGTGATTTTGAAAATATATATATATATGTGTGTGTGTGTGTTTGTATCATTAAGTTTTTTCAAATTGTGCGAAAAATTAAAAAATTCACAGTTACACCCCGTAATCGCAACCGCACCACCACAACCATTACGGTGATCGCAACTGCTTTTCCAAACCTTGGGTCAACTCTTAGTTTTAAACATATTATATTCTATTTTCTCAATCACTTACCTCCAATCCTGACAATTAAATAGGGTCAATATCTTTTTGGCTTATTAGCATATCTCATGAACTTCAATGGCTTATTAGCACATTGGTTGGGCAATGCTAATTTGCTTAGTTCTTCAACCACAGGGCTAGATTTTTGGGGCAAAAATGGTTTGTAGTTGTTAGGCAATCTTTTGCGCTGTTGGTTGGGCTTCCTTTAATCTGCAAAAATTTTAAAAATCTCAAAAAAAATATCAAAAATTCAATACAATACTCATTGTCATTGGTACATTGTATAGAATTTTTGATAATTTTTTTGGGATCTCTAACATTACTCTTAACTTGAAGTTGTTATGCCAAGTCCTTGGGAGCGCTAGCTAGGCTTCATTTGGAAAGTTGTGCCCGTGACGTTTTTTATTTTATTTTTTTGAGAAACAAAAAGGAGATGTATGTTATGCCCATGAGGTTTTTTTTTTTTTTTTATATATTTATTTTTGAGAAACAAAAAGGAGATATATGTTGTGCCCATGAGGTTTATGTGATGTATGAGAAGTTATTTGGTAGTCTTGGGGCATGGTCAATTGGTGTCCAGAGGTGTTGTAATTGGTAGAAAGGGTGGATCCTACAGTTTTATATTGAAGCATGGAGAACAACAAGGGAACTTGACAATTGGTGATTGATTGAGAGTAGAGACATGTGGCGAGCTAGGACACCTAATAATTTTCATGATGTATGCTGCTGAAATGGTCTTAAATGGACTAGGAAGAAGGACCTAAACCATGTATGGGGTGCCAAGGTACTTGAGCTGAAGGACCTAAACCATGTATGGGTACCAAGCTACTTGAGGGATCTTGGGCTTTGTAAAGGGTTAAAATGTCTTTATAGGTCCTTAATAGGTCATTGGTGGATTGGGCCATTGCCCCATAAAACCAAATGTCACAATAAAGACGATTTTTCAAATGCCGAGTGGCCCAGTAGCTAGTACTTGTGTGCTAAAAATATATATGATATGGTATACTAGGAATTATTAAGCCAAAAAGTGACATCAACTATTATTAGATAGGCCGATGGAAGGAAATGGAAGTTGAGATTGATGAAAAGCTTTCTAATCTTGGAGAATTTAATTTCTTATAGCTTTCCCTTTTTAAAAGGAACTATTTCATTCTCAAATATAGAAGGTGAAATGCATATGAGTGGATTGAATTGAGGCTTGGGTTTTTACCAAATATTTGTCACTTTATATATGAAACCAAGATGAAAATTCTCTCATCAAATGAATGAGTGGTATTCAAAGTTACAAATTTCTCCCTTGCTTTCTCTATTATTTTGTTTTCCTCCTATTTTAATGATAAGATAATCAAACCAGACCAAACCAATCTAAACTTCATGTCTCACTCAAGTGGGGTCAATTATATCAATGTTTTTTGCTTTTTGCTTTCTCAACCAAAGCCTCCCGACTAAATTCATAGATTAGAAATTCCTCTTAGGGGAGGGGAGAGAGAGAGAGAGAGAGAGAGATTTAGCAAATTATGATAAAGCTAGAGAAGAGATTTAGCAACAAATTACACGCTGTAGCATATATAAAACAAAAATAATATTAAAAACACAAAGAGACCACGATATATGAACCATATCTGCGACTTTTGCTATAATTTGTGAAAATTGTAAATTTTGCTAGTTAGAAAAAACTAGCTTAGCTTGTTACTGCTTCTGTATTTTGTTATTTATTACCTTGGATTTAATTAAGAACATGATTGAGAGAGTCAATTAGGGGAAAAAATGTAACTAACCCAAGTAATCGAATGAAGACTTATTAAGTAGAGTATTTATTTATTATAATTTTCTATAGCAAGTATGTGATGAACATTGCTATTTTCTAATGTAAATAGTTGATCTTTAGCTTAAGCAATCGAACTTCTTATCATTGTGGAGATAGTAGGCATTAATCTTAGGTTGTAGTTTTTTTTTTTTTAATGACATGTAACTAATCGAAGTAGGGAATGTTTGAGATTTAGGATCATAGATTCATAGAATCTCAAAATAACCATATTGGACTATGAAGTTGTTTTGTGCAAATGTAAAGTAAATAACCTATCAATAATGCAAATCCTACTTATCACTGCTGCATAAATGTGAGTGTAGCACTATTGGATTGAGTTGCTTGTTGTGGAGGAAAACAGAATTGAGTGGATTGTTTAACATATTCAAAACAGTTCTGCTTGTGTGTTTCACTGCTCAACTGATATATCTCATGTGTTTTTCTTAATGTGCAGTACTCACTTTTTGGTTCAATGTTGACAATTGGAGGAATGTTAGGTTCAATAGTCAGTGGAAAAGTAGCGGACCTCATTGGTCGAAGATTTGTAAGTTTATGGCTTTGTCCTAAGTTAACCTTAGATATGAACTATACCAATCACTAAACATTTCTCAATCTTGGTTGATAATCTTGTGATGCAGACAATGTTGTTGTCTGGAGTATCTTTCATCTTGGGGTGGCTTGCAATAATTTTTGCAGAGGTTACTTGTACTTTTCCTTCTTTCTTTTGTGTTTTACCTTGTTAAACAAAATTAAGAGGGTTGTCGGTGTACCTCTAGCGCAAAAATAATTGACAAAAAAAATGCCTTGCTTGGGTACAAGCGTCCATGCAAGCAAGCAACATGAATCCATCAATAGAGAGATTACTAGAGCGTCACTATGTCCCACACTCTAGGTTCAAGGCACGAAGATGGTGTTAGAGAGAGACCATGATAGAGCATTACCCTAAGGCTTTCAGTTTTTCTAGCCAAACTCTCTTCTTCCTACACAAACCTCTGACCATGATAGAGCATTACCCTAAGGCTTTCAGTTTTTCTAGCCAAACTCTCTTTTTCCTACACAAACCTCTCTTGCACATTTCTCACCAAGGACTTAACGTTGATATTAAGATAGCATATTTTCCAAGGCGTCATGATTGATGCAGTCCAACGGAGCATCTCTAGGAAAGGCATTATAGTCTAAATGAATTGATGCTAGTGGCTATACAATGATTGTTCAAATAACGACCTCAGTCTCATAGCCCAGACAATTATATCAAATTTGTGCTTTTTTGATATAATCACGAGTACATAAAAGATAATTGGTTTCAAACATTGCTTTGAGTTGTGACACATGAGGGGTTAATGATGATTAGTCTGATGTGGTCGAGAATCTAGGATATAGACAAGATATCATGAGTGATGTTTTATGTTACATTAGATGGTGACTTAATATAGTACTCCTATCTTATGTTTTCTTGTTAGGTTGCACACTTGTAATTTTTGTTTGATGAGATGATTAGAAGTAAGATGACACTAGTATGTGGTCGTGTGCAAAATGTGTAAATGAGAAATGTTTTTCTAGTCTCACAACTATGCAGTAGGATGACTGCACCACTATTTTAGTTTGCCAACTCTCCATTTCATGAGCTTTAGCTTTGTCACAAGTTGATTTTTCCTTTTTTGGGTCAAATTCTATCATTTCCTTGGCCTTTTGGAGACGATGGGGGATATAAGTGAGGTCCTTTATAGGTAAAAAAAATAGTGTGATGGAAAGTGTGCAAGACTAAAGCTCATGACTAAAAATAATTGCAGGGAAGTGTGCAAGCAAGGTTTCAAAAAGCGGTGTTACGTAATGGTTGTTGCCATTACGTAACGGTTGCGGTGGAAATTTATATATGTAACGGCTGTTTCAGTGTTACATAATGGCTGTAACAGCCCGTTACACACCGTTGCAATATTTTGAATAGTTTCCTTTCTAAAAAAAATAAAAAAATTCGTACAAAAAAATAATGAATACTCAAGCGATTCAAGCACAAATATGGATTATTTTTCTTTATAATTTATTTATTAATTTTTATTTCATGACATTAGCATGTAAAATAAAAAAATATATAAATAGTGGTTGTATTTATTTTTATAATTATTTCATTTAATATTTAATTGTAAATATTTTTTATTTTATTACTATAATGTGTTGTCTAAAAAATGTCTTTAAAAAAAATCACTGATTTTTATAATAATTTTATTTAATAATTAATTGTAAATACTTTTATTTAGTTAGATGTAAAGTGTTGTCTAAAAAAATTTCTTTAAAAAAACAAAAATCATTAGCTAAATTTTTTTTTTTGTTTATGGCACAATTTGTTTTATAATCATTTCATTTAATAATTGTAAATATTTTTTTATTTAGTTAGTTTAGGTATTGGTCAAAAATAATTTTTATAGACATTTAAAATCAATCATTCTTAAAGTCATTAACTATTGAAATAAAATGTAAAAATTCCTTTTATAGTGATTTAAAAATATGAAATATATTAAATTATACTTAAAAACTAACAAAAATTAATCAAAATCTATTTTAAACCCTAATAAATGTGATTTAAAAAAAAAATTTATGCGTATTAGTAAGTTTTTTTCAAATTGTGCAATAAATTAAAAAATTCATAGTTTCGGTTACCACAACTGTTACACTACACCCCGCCACCGCAATTGCGTCACTTAACCTTGTGTGCAAGACTAAAAGCTTCTGAAGTGGAGTGTAGGCAAAGTGGAATAACAATGTGGTAAGCACTACAACATGATGGATGTGACTAACTGACATTCCCCTTCCCAACGGCTACAATTTTAATTCATTTGCATTTCATGTGAATGCGAAGAAGAATAATTTATGCCTAAAACATGTACCTTTTCACCAATCATTTTGCAGCTAAGACGAGTGTATATGCATCTCAATGTTATTTTGTTGAAAGCAACTTCACATTCACAAGGCTTAAATTTAGACGATGATCATTGAAAGAAGATAATGGGATTCACTGTGGCAGCAGTAGAAGCAAATCTTTTATGAAGCTTCACGTTGTTAATTCCAGAATCCTGCTGGTTTCTGCAATTATTATTTTTCTAAAGAGCACAAACACTAATTAAAAAAAAACAAAAATAAAAGTAACCATCCAAATTAAGCCAATATATTTCATTTTATTATTTCATATGTATGGCATAGTTAATATAAATGTTCAATGTTTGTTGAAAGGTTGCTTTGTGGCTCAACATTGGAAGAGTTTTTTTGGGATTTGGCATCGGGACTCATTGTTTTGCGGTAATTACTAGTTACATAAAGCTTTGGTTTTCTTATTCGATTTGCTTCTCAATGAAATGCATAATGGAGCTAACAATGCCAGATACCAACAGGCACCTGCATATATCGGTGAAATCACTCCCAAGAACAGTCGAGGAGCATTTACAGCAGTTAATCAGGTAAATAATCAAAAAATAGTTTCAGATTTGAATTAGATAATTAACCCTTTTTAATGAATAAATCTTTTGGAAATTCTACAGTTAATGTTAACCTGTGGCTTGTCAATAGTGTATTTCGTTGGCAATGTCGTTACTTGGCGCATCTTGGCTATAATTGGTAATTTAATTAGTCTACTTTTGTACTGTTTGTATTAGTCCAAAGATGGTTTCATTTTAATTTCCTGTACATTTTGTGGTTTCAGGAACTATACCAAGCCTACTAGAGGTTATTGGTCTATTCTTCATACCAGAGTCTCCAAGATGGTTGGTGAGTTCAATTCAAATTTTATAAGAGATTGTAAATTAGTTGGCGTTGCTATTGAGCAGTCCAAGTTTGAAAGAAGGGAGAAATAAAAAGAGGAGTATCCAAAGTTTTTTTTCTTCACTGGTTTCTTGTAATGTTTGTTCTATTCTTTTCCCTGCTATCTTTGGTATAATAAGAAGCAAACAAAACATGTTAGAACATATTTTGACAAAAGAAAATTAGAAAAATTTATGGTTTCCGTTTTTATTTTAGTTTTATGTTTTTTTAATTTCACTGAGCTGATGCTGCAAAAAATAAAAAATAAAAAATAAAATTATTATAGAATGCGCAACTGATCAGTACAACCATCTTCAGGTAAAGGTTGGAAAAGAAAAGGAATTAGAAGCAAGTCTACGACGCCTTAGGGGACAAAATGTTGATATTTCTCAAGAAGCAGCTGAAATCAGAGTAACATTTCAAATTTAATTTGCTAATTGAAGAAGTCACTCTTTACAACAAAACTAATATTGTTTTCAGAATTTCATTTTCTTCCCCAAAGAAATGAGACAAATCCTGTTATTGTCACAGGATTACCTGGAACTAGCTCAGCAGCTCCCAAAATCTAGTTTTATCGACATGTTTCAGTGGAAATATGCTCATTCGCTAACTGTAAGACTTAAACATTTAATCTTATGACCCGTCACATTTTCATGATTTGTCTGACATTCCTATGAACAAATCAAATTGCAATAGATTGGAGTTGGTATAGTGTTACTGGCAATTTTTGGAGGGACGGTTGCGATTTCCTACTATGCAAGTTCGATTTTTGAGTCTGCTGGTAAACTAAGGGCCTTTGGTTTCTCATTTTAATTTATGAATTAATTAAAAATAAACGTACCATTTGAGGAAATATTCATGGATATATGAATCTATAATTTATAGGTTGCTCGGCTACCCTTGGCACTACAGTACTGGCTATTATTCAGGTACTTGAGTCGTTAACTAGTGTGTTTGATATGGGATTTTGATTGATGTAATTCTCAGCTAATGTATGCTTTTGCAGATTCCATTTTCCATTTTGGGTGTACTCTTAATGGATAAATCCGGGCGACGACCACTATGGATGGTTAGAATGTGAAAGAGTTTTATTTATTTATTTATATTTTAAGAATTCAATGGAATGAATAGATTTTGAGAATCAGAGTTTATGCAGATTTCTGCAGCTGGAACATGCGTGGGAAATATTCTTGTAGGATTGGGATTCCTCTTGAAGGTAGCTTCAAAATAAAATGGATTTTATTTATTTATTTATTTATTTTAACTAAAAGATGGTTATTTTTGAATTATCACAAGCAGGATTTTGATCAAAAAAAGGAGATAACAGCTGCATTGGTGTTGGCTGGGATACTGGTAATGATTTAATTCAAACATAGTTTTTCCCACTTTTCTTATCATGTATGAATGGAAAAACAGCTAAAAAGTAAATATTTTGATGTTTTGTTTGTAATATTCTCTCGTCCTGATATTCTCTGCCCATAATAATGCAATTTAAACGATTGTATGCAATTTAAAGTCTTGTACTTGTTTTTGACAAAGTGAAATCTTACATTATCAATTTTTTGTTCTGTTTGTGCCAAATTATAGCTTATCAATGCCTGAAACCAAGCAACATGTGAATTATTGATTTTTGCAACCAGGTGTACGGATCATCTTTTTCAATAGGGATCAGTGGCGCACCTTGGATTATCTTGTCAGAGGTATGTCAAATCTAGATTAAACCGGGATTCTTTTATCTTGTATGGAAATATTAACCGGTAGTTAGCATGATATAAGAACTATTTTTTTGTAACTTAAGCATGACGACGTTGGTTTTATTTTTTCAGATGCTTCCTATAGACATAAAGGGTCCAGCTGGAAGTTTTATTACTTTTCTCGTTTGGGCAAGTTCTTGGATTGTTGCATACACTTTTAATTTTGTACTTCAATGGAGCTCCGCAGGTGCTCTCTCTCTCTCTCCCTCTCTCTCTCTCTGAATACATGTGTATGAGTTGAGTTCTTATTTTTCACTGTTGTCACTCAGGATCGTTTTTCATATTTGCTGGCATTTGTGGTTCGACTGTTCTGTTTGTTGCGAAGCTGGTCCCGGAGACTAAGGGGCGAACTCTAGAAGAAATACAAGCATCGCTTTCCCTTTTTCAGCAACCAAAAAGATAAGAGAGATGCACAATATTCTACAATAGTCACATGGGTAAGGGCCGAAACAATGTGGGAATGTAGGCCCCACCCCATGTAAGTGTGTTGTAGAATATTGTGTTTCAGCAGCTGGTTTGTTTGGCAACCACATACTTAAACCGAAAATAAGTGTCAATGTTGTAAGTTTGAATAACAAGAGAAACTAATATTATTGCGTTAATGCCAATTGTATTCTTTATGTGACTGAATTGACTCCAAATAAATAGGAAGAAGCCTTAAAGACAATAGGAAAATTCTAAATCGGATTACAAATAGGAAGATTCTAACAAATACTCTGTAGAAGAGGGTTCAAGAAAGGAGTTAGAAAATTCGAAGATCTTGGGCCTAAATAATTTAGTGGGCTCAAATTAGCCCCTCTTACATACTCCATCCATGATCACAACAAATGTTGAGAGTTTGCCAAAGCTTTTACATCTTGTACATGAAGCTACTTCTGAATAGAAATTTAATGATTTTTTTTTTTAAAAAAATATTTACATGCTTTTACAAGGGTAGATCAGCTCACTTATACTGCTTACAAAACAAATAGAATTCCTTTACATATTTATTGCTTGTTTCATTTGCAAATGTTCTTGGAAAGTAGCACATACAGTGATAATGATGACAACTAAATATTGCAACAAACATGAAATACAAGGGGTAAAGTATTACTGAATTGAAGAAACCGCCTTACAACATTGCAGGATTGCTCAACTATTTTATTTTTCCTGCCTTGATTCCTTTGTTGCCTATCATTTTGCGACGATTCAAGAAATAGTCCAACCTTGGTCCTCTTAACTGCAATCTCGTTACAAGTTCAATGATTGTTGAGATGTCATCCTCAATTTCTTGCTTACTGAATAGAACAGGGAAAATTTCAGCATTATGGGAACAATTAGGAAGTTATGACGCCAGAGCTTCTAAGGCAATTCTTTCGCAATGAAACGAAATGAAGATGATTTGTCTAGATTTTATGCATAAAGCCAACCATTAGGTTTGAGTTGGTAGTAATCTCTTCAAGTTTTTTGATAGTAGAAATAACATATTTAGTATATGAACAGATTGAACCACATTTAAAGAGAAAAATTACATACACTAAGCTTTAACTTGATATGATAACAAGAACTTAAGCATATGTCAGAAAGTGTAGTTATGACAAAAACAATCTTACCTTCTATCCAACGCAAAAGAAAGATGCCTCAACTCATCCAGAATCATGTTAGCTTCTTCACAAAGGTTTTGACCGTCCTCATTAATGTTGTGTTGAAAAAAATCCACTGCAGCAGATAAAAGTTGAAAATTTTTCTCCACCTCCACCTGGAAGTATAGAATGAAGAGTAGATGGGTTTAGATTTCAAATTGTCTTAAATTCATTTGCATTTGATAGTTTATGATGACAATTTAGCTATACCTTAATTTTTGGTGCAGCAGACACAAGGCTCATTACATTTCTATTCTTTTCGTTCTCTGAATTTGAAGCATCAAACATTTCCCAAAAGAGACCATAATTGCCATTTGAAAATGGATAAATGAAATCCTTCTCTCCAACCATCGTCTTTTGTTCATCCGAAAACAATTCTCTTAATATATCCTCCCTGCATTTGTTTACCTTCAGGTTTACAAAAACTGCATCGGAGCAAGGAAATATTGAAAAATTGTCTCCAACACCGACTACAACAAGGGGGTTTCCAATCTTTTTAAGTGCATCAGCAACTGCATCGACAAAGTAACATTCCCTCCTACGAATGGCATCACAAAATGCCTGTGGCAGTTGTGAACTAATATCACTCCTATCCAGCAGGTCAAAAAGCTTATCAAAATGCTTCCCAAAGTTTACACAAACCAGACATAACAGAACAATCAATCTCAAAACAAAGAAAGGATAGTAATCCTCCGATATGTTTTCTGTTGACATAATCCACTCCATTGTAGCAGACTTACTGAGAAGCATCTCCTGAACAAGGTTTGCAATAAAATTGTGGATGTCTTCTCCCAAATCAAGTGATGATGATTTGATATCATTAACTAAACTGCCATTTGGATTTTTAAGCCATTCATTAAGTGATGCCTTTGAAGTGAATAAATGACATCCTCGGAAGTAGGATACCATGAACAAAAGACACTCAAGAAGATAAAAGAAGCAAGTAGGTGATATATAATCCTTTTCTGACCTCCAATTGGCAAAATAAGTATCTTCAAGAGCTTCATGGAATTTGTTAACCAAAGATACCTCTATTAAAGCAACATCTGATACTATATTCTCAATGAGTTGTTCGATAAATGTCATCCATTGTGAATTCTTGCAAAAACAGCACCGAACCTTCCCATATAATTCTTTATTTAGCCTACCAGACCCAATTATCATCATCACCACCCTCCCCATTTGCCCATATGTCGCTGACTCCCCATTTGAGCTTATGTTTGCCAAAATTGTTTCATTTATCAAATTCATAGACAGGTTGGTTCCTCTCAGAACAATCGAATTCTCTGTAAATGATTTTCGCCAGTCATGAGGAAATACATGGCCAATGAAGCTCTGAATAAATGGTGTAAGGTAGTCCTGCACAAATGCTTTATTGTTCTCGCAGTGGTGAAACTTGTACTCCTTAAGAAACTTGGCAACCTCAAAGATACAGACAAATACACTCTGGTGAAACTCAAAGAAGAAATTTTTGACAGTGTTCTCATGAATGGCTTTAAGAGTTTCTAATACTTTGACACCAACAGAAAATATTTCCGAACTCCAATACCTCAATGCTGCGAAGACAAACTGGCGAGCACCAATATGAACCATATTTCCATTCCTCTTGAGGGATCTGTCATCGATTTCTCTTATCCAGTTGGCATGAGGTTCAAGCAAGAGGTAAATTGTTCCCTGATTACAATTGTGTTTTCGCACACCCATATAATTCAAGCAAAACTCCTCATAATTACTGTACTCACTAACTTCTTCTTGTCCGATTCTCTGGAGGTAGTGATCAATTAAAATCACAATCATCTGCTTCCAAACATTCCAAAAGTAAACCAATGTTTCAGCTGAAATCCGGTTCTGGGAAATCATGTCTTCTGAATGCTTTCTCATATGGGTAAGCATTTCATTACTCCACTCATACTTTGAGGTATCTGAATTGAGATGAGCATCCAAAATTTTCCGAACCAATAAAATTTCACCTCTCAGACTTTCATGTCCGTGGGAAGAAAGCCAATATTCGCTCAGTTCAGACAAGCTAATTTCCTTGTTCGATAAAATATTCACTTCTACAGAGACAAACTCATAGAAGAGATCCGAGTGATTCCTTGCATATAACTTTGCTTTTGTGAGAAGCTCTTCCTTCTTTCCAAACTGCTTCAAAGGCCAACCTTTGCTTTGGGAAACCCAAAGAGATCTAGCAAAGACAAACCAGAGAATAATATTAGATGCTTCATCATATTGTCCAGCCTTCTCGAGAAGATTAGCCTTACGTAAAAGTTCTCCTTTTTGCTCTGCGATATTGGCAGCTTCCACGAAGTTTCCCCTTCTTTCTTCCAACAACAGAAGCTCATTAAGGCAATTCAAAGACCTCAAGAAGTCACGAATCGACTCTATGGAATGAAATGCTTCCACATATTTCATCATGGAATGATAATCTTTTTGATCATGATAATGACGTGCACATCTTTCTAACATATTTTGTTCAATTATTTTCATTTCATAACGCCTTTTGACCCTGCCAACATCTTCTGGTGCATTTAATTTCCAGTGTTGAATAAACTGCAAGCCCATCTCAAGGAGTTCTCCATTGTTGTTAGCTTTTCCTCTTGATAAAATGTCAGCTTCCATACAAACAAACTCATGGAATTGATCAGAATGATTTTTTGCAATTGACTTGGCTCTTGTCAGAAGTTTGTCTTTCTCTATAGACTGCATCAAAGGCTGAATTTCTTTTCCTTTTGTATGCAGAGAGTCTCTGAACACGTACCAGAGAATGAGCATAGATGCTTCTCTGAAAAGTTCGGCCTTCTCTACCAAATCAACCTCAAGAAGAGAATCTCTTTTTCGCTTTGCAATGTCGGCAGCTTCCAGGAAGTTTCCCATTTCTACTTCCAACATCAGAAGCTCATCGAGGAGACTCTCCTTCTCCAAAAAGATGCGAATTGACTCCATGGATTGAAACGATCTAACAAATCGTAACATGGATTTTACATCTTGGAGCTTGTAATAATGAAGAGCAGCTCCCTGTAGAAATTCTTGCCCATTAGTGCCTAATTCTTTTACAGCACTCGTAGCAGCATCTTGTTTCCAGCTCTCAATGTACTTCAACCCCTTGTCAAATAACTTCCCATCACTGCAAGCAGATAAGCACTTCAGGTGTAAGTTTGCCCTTGCATATACTTCTGCTGCAATATTGTAACATCTCGCTAGTGAAAAACATTCTCCCGCACTTTCCAACTTAGATTCCCCACATTTTTCCAAGTAAATTTCTCCTACATCAGTAAAAACACACAATTTGAATGTCAAATTCAGCAATAAACATAAGAAAAGCATTGAGATAAGATTATCAGTGAAAGAGAAATAAATGAGGTATGTATATTGAATTTGTTGTACTATTACAAGGGGTGCTTAGCTCGCTTCTTATAGCCTATGCGAGGCATGCGAGACGCGAGGCACTGAGCCGAAAGCATAAAGCAAACAAACATAATAATAACAACTTAATGCTAAAGTATACAAAGTAATAACAACTAAAGAATAAACAATGCTAAAGTATAATAATAGACTAAACAATGCTAAAGGATAATAATAGACTAACAATCAGAAACTACTGAGCCATAAATTGATAATTAGATTCAAACTGATGTATAATTCTCAACTTGTTATTACCATAAACTCAAGAGAACCAATTCGCATTACAATGTTTTTCACTCTTTGGCTGAACACAAAGTCTTACCAGAAAACACTGACACTTAAGTGATTTACTTTTGGAACACACATTCCAAAACCTGACACTTTTGTTCTAAAATGGTGAATTTATTGATCTAAATTAATCCCAATTTTTTTCTATTTATCCCATTAAAAAATTTCCATATGACAACAAGAATCAACTATAATGAACTATTTTAGGGAGAGTGGCATTTAGGATGGACAAAATATAAAAATGGGTCATAATGCTCTACTAAAATTTGTTTACACATATGATTATCTTGATTTAAAAAAAACGACTATATTTTATTGAATGTTTTAAAAAATGCTCTAGAAGTAGTTTCAACTCTAATAGTCTAATATATATATATATATAAGTCCACCCTACTGTACTACATTTTAGAGTATATAGTGCACCTATGTTACATGGACTCAGGTACAAGTATCAGATACGGGTGCACATCCAAGTGTTAGATCTTCATAAACTTAAATCCTATTATATTGGGATTATGAATCCAAAATAGTTTATGGGTACAGGGACTTATTATATACACATATATATTACATATTATATAATATTTTTAGATAAGATAATGAAAATTATGTAGAAAGGTACGTGAAATTGAATAAGATTTAAAAATAAAAAATAAAAAGTAGAAATTTTATCTCTCGTCTACGCTAGAGGTTATAAATGTTTCTTTTCTAACAAATGTGAGTTTCTTATTCTTTAAACATTATAAAAAGTTTGAGGATTCAAGTGTCTAAAATAGGTACGGGTGTCGGACACATATTTCACACCCTTATCCTTGTCATATCTGGTGGACACAGATACTTTCAGGCAAATAGAAGATTCCATGTAACATAGTAGTGCGCCACATTCCCATTCCATGTGCCAGAGGCCTTCCAGGAATAGGCAGAGTCACTATAGAGGCAACTGGTGAGTTTTGAAAACTTTAACTTTAATGGGAGTTGCTAATAGCCTCACCTAATTACTTAGGACCTCCCTATCCATTTTATCTATTTTTATTACCATTTTACACCACATAAATTTCCCTTTATCCCCATCCCTATCCCTAACTCTAACCCCCACCAACTTGGACAGATGGTGGGTGTTGTGACAACACCAGTGCTATCACGGTCCACCGGGTTTATCTCGAACCTATTTTTGATAATTCGAATTATTCATATTGTAAGATTTGTCGAGCATATCATTTTTATAAAAATTGAGATTAATTGGACATGTATCGCCCTATGATCAACCCTAATTGTTTTTGTGCGGACCCGGAATTTACCTCGCACGTTAGTTCCTCGTGATCAAGTAAATGCCTCTGCAAACGTCATTGTAAGGCTTGAAAACACGAACTCAGATTAGCTTACCTGTGGGTGTGTGCCAGAAAACTCTCCGATACCTAAGTTAGCATAATAGGATCAACAATGGGGAGAAGCTTAAAGAATTCTGTGAATAAAGTTCATTACCTCGTTTAGGTTAAACTCTGAGCTCTTATATGTTTCGGCATAGCAGAATCCTAGTGGGACTCTAATTCCACTTTGTAGCTTCCCACTAGGAGTCAACTTCTTAAGGATAATACCCATCATTTATCACCCTGGCCATGCAGGTCTAACACTCGGTTTGGATGGACGGGTTTGGTGAAAAAAGAAAAGAAATTGTGAGAATAGAAAACCCCTTCACTTGTTTGGATGGTTAAGTAGGTGAGAAATGATGAGAGATGGTGATAAAATGACTCTCACCAAACATTTGTTTTGTTTCTCACTAGAAGTGGTCAAATTTGGTGAGAAAAGAATTGGGTTTAACGAAAGTTTTCTAAAATATCAAAATTACCCTTATGAAAAAACATAGCTTATTAATATGGAAGGTTATTTTTGTAAAATGAAATAAAACACTTTCCTTTCTTTTCTCTTATTTATTTTATCCAAACAAGATAGGTGAGAAATCACATTCTCTTCTCTTTTATTCATCCAAACATAATAGTGAGAAACCATAATCATTTCTTTTCTTTTCTCACCTAGTTGAGAAAACCACAATCTTTTCTTTTCTTTTCTCAACTCACCTCACCTCACGATCCAGACGGAAAAGAATGAAAAGAATTTTTTAGTTTTTTCATGAATGAGATAGAGGCCATGTATATATAATAGATTCATGATACAATTTAGGAAACAATATAAAGAAGGAAACAATACTAAATCAGTGATTGACACAATCACAGATTATATATATAATACTAAAAATAAAAATATTCGATGTACTCTAATTTTTATACTCAACACTCTCCCTCAAGCTGGTGTGAAGATGTTCAACAATCACAGCTTGCCAATGGATAACTGGAAGAAGCCGGAAAAAATTCAACGGCCAGGCCAAATAAATGCTATCGAACAAATTTGGTAGTCCACTAAATAAAAAAAGGCCAAAAAGTGCTTAATACATCAGCACCACACCTTAGAAAGGGAAAAAAAACAGGGACTGAATTGTCCTAAAAGAGCTGCCGAAGCATCTATGGCCAGGAAATACCCTGGTCGCCAACCAACAAGACCCTGGTCGACATCAGTGACCGGAGCTAATGCCAGGAGATAGTTTATGGTCGTGCCAGACCGTTGCAGAAATTGGTTGGAACTAATGTCGAGACAATTTAAGGTCATGCTGGACCGTTGTAGGAGCTGATCGGAATCAATGTTGGGATAATTTGAGGGGTCATGTTGGACCGTTTTAGAGACTAACCGAAATCAATGTCGAGACAATTTAAAGGGGTCACACCGGAACGATGTAGATCTGGATGTTGAACCAGCAAGCGTGGCACACACATAACTTATGACGTAGTGCTGAACAAGGATGGCAACAAATGACTGAGTGCGCCAGGGGGCGGCTTTGGTAGTGCGCTAGAGGGGGCAGCTTTAGTTGTGCTCCAGAGGGGGCGACTTGGGTTGTGTGCCAAATGGGGCGGCTTAGGTGGTTCACATAGTATATCACCATGCTCACTATGATATAGATATAATACCCCTCTCAAACTTAAATAGGTTTGAAGATAAAAACCTATTTGAGATTGAAATAGAGAGAAAAACAAAGTGGAACAGAAACACAAAAAAATGGATTGCAAGTAAAAAAAAATATGATAGAGATATTTGGGATAGAAATAAACTAGTGGATAGAGGAAGAGATCACCACGAAGTGATATTGAAAGAAAATATGGCAGTGGAATGGGTTGAGGTCCAGCGCACGGCTAAGGCAAGGTTGTTGCCCACCGGTGAAGCAAAATTACTATGTACTTAACCTAGCTCTGATACCCAAAAAAATGAAAAGAATTATTTGGCTTTTTCATGAATGAGGTAGAGGCCATGTATATATAATAGATTCATTATACAATTTAAGAAACGATGTAAATAAGGAAACAATACTAAATCAGTGATTGACACAATCACAGATTATATACATAATACTAAAAATAAAAAGATTCTATGTACTCTAATTTCTATACTCAACAGAATGTAAGTGAAGTGTATCTACTCCTAAGTTGACAACCAGGACAAGCAACTAATCTTCCCAGTTGCTCTTCATTGGTGCAGATACTTAGTCACTTTCCACTCATTTCCGCTCAAGAGCAACTGAGCATGGACTAAGAATAATGGCCACGTAATTACCTCTAGCCAAGCCTTTCAACCTAGCATAATATGCCCGGTCGCACACCACCACTTGTGCCAAACTCAATCACTGAAGCCTTATCAACTTGGCATCATTTGTTCAACCTAAGTTCATGTTAAGCCCATTTGCCGACCCAAGTTAATGCTAAGCCCATCTGTCTAGCCCAAGTATCAAGGCCACATTGAGGTTTGGTGGAATGGGTTGAGGTTTGGTGGACAGCCAAGGCAAGGCTGTTGCCCACCGGTGAAGCAAAATTACTAAGTACTTAACCTAGCTCTGATACCCAAAAAAATGAAAAGAATTATTTGGCTTTTTCATGAATGAGGTAGAGGCCATGTATATATAATAGATTCATTATACAATTTAAGAAACGATGTAAATAAGGAAACAATACTAAATCAGTGATTGACACAATCACAGATTATATACATAATACTAAAAATAAAAAGATTCTATGTACTCTAATTTCTATACTCAACAGAATGTAAGTGAAGTGTATCTACTCCTAAGTTGACAACCAGGACAAGCAACTAATCTTCCCAGTTGCTCTTCATTGGTGCAGATACTTAGTCACTTTCCACTCATTTCCGCTCAAGAGCAACTGAGCATGGACTAAGAATAATGGCCACGTAATTACCTCTAGCCAAGCCTTTCAACCTAGCATAATATGCCCGGTCGCACACCACCACTTGTGCCAAACTCAATCACTGAAGCCTTATCAACTTGGCATCATTTGTTCAACCTAAGTTCATGTTAAGCCCATTTGCCGACCCAAGTTAATGCTAAGCCCATCTGTCTAGCCCAAGTATCAAGGCCACATTGAGCTTAGCTGGGCCCAATACTCTGATAGAAATTACCCTCTCAATTTTCCAAAAAAAAATATTAAAATTATGATAGCCGTTTATTTTTTTACAACATAAATGTGATTTTGTTATGGGTTACAGATGCCCAAATAATCTAATTTTTTTCATAGATGATTTACTCAACGAAACTTACAATATGAATGGCTCAGATCATTAAAATACATTTAAGACACATGCCACGAGTGTCACAGCACCAACCTCTCACTCCACTAGCTCCAGCCACCTCCCCCCTACCCTCCTCCATTCATCCATTTCCGCCTTCTCCAGCTCCTCCCTTCACTCTAGCCCAACCCCTCCATCATCATCCCTCCTTTGCCTCTCCCTTGCCTCCTAAGTAGCCCCCACCCCTGCCTATCGTCCATAGCCACAAACCAAAATAATGAAAAGAATTATTTGGCTTTTTCCATGAATGAGATAGAGGCCATGTATATATAATAGATTCATGATATAATTTAGGAAACGATATAAATAAGGAAACAATACTAAATCAGTGATTAACACAATTACAGATTATATACATAATACTAAAAATAAAAAGATTCTATGTACTCTAATTTTTATATTCAACACTCCCCCTCAAGTTAATGTAAAGATATTCAACAATCGCAGCTTGCCAATGGATGACTGGAAGAAGTCGGAAAAAACTCAATGGATTGTCCAAATAAATGCTACTGAACAAATCTGGTAGTCTACTAAATAAAAAAGACCAAAAAGTGCTTAATACATCAGAACTGAAAGAAGTCAGAAAAAACTCAACGGCTAGTCCAAATAAATGCTATCGAACAAATCTGATAGTCCACTAAATAAGAAAGGCCAACAAAATGGATTGAACTGCCCTAGAAGAAACTGACCGAAATCAATGTTGGGACAATTTACGGGGTCATGTCGGACCATTGTAGAAACTAACCGGAATCAATGTCAGGACAATTTAAGGGGTCATGTCAGACCGTTGTAGAGACTAACTGAATGTTAAACCAGCAAGTGTGGCATGCACATAACTTATGATGTGGTACTAAACGATGATGGCAACAGATGACTGAGTGTGCCAAGAGGCAGCTTATTAGAAAGTGCCCTAGGAGGCGGCTTAGGTGGTGTGCTAAAGGGATGACTTGGTTTGTGCACCAGAAGGGGTGACATGGGTTGTGTGCCAAATGAGGCGGCTTTGGTGGTTCACATGGTATATCACCATGCTCACCATGATATAGGTATAATAGCCCTCTCAAACTCAAACAGGTTTGAAGATAAAAACCTATTTGAGGTTGAAACAGAGGGAAAGACAAAGTGGAGCAAAAACACACAAAAAAAAAATGAATTTCGAGTAAAAAAAATATGATAGAGATATTTGGGATATGAACAAACTAGTGGATAGAGGAAGAGATCACCACGAAGTGATACTGAAAGAAAGTATGACAGTGGAATGGGTTGAGGTTTGGTGGACAGCCAAGGCAAGGCTGTTGCCCACCGGTGAAGCAAAATTACTAAGTACTTAACCTAACTCTGATACCAAGAAGAATGAAAAGAATTATTTGGCTTTTCCATGAATGAGATAGAGGCCATGTATATATGATAGATTCATGATACAATTTAAGAAACGATATAAATAAGAAAACAATACTAAATTAGTGATTGACACAATCATAAATTATATACATAATACTAAAAATAAAAAGATTCCATGTACTCTAATTTCTATATTCAACACCACTCCCTCCCTCTTCCTTTTTGCCGTGAACCCAAGATTTATGGTTTGAGGCAAAGAGAAGGAAGAAGAAGTAGAAAATAAAGCACAACGGGGGCAAATTAAGAAGAAAAAAGAAAGAAGAGGCTAGAGGAGGGTAGCTAGAGAGGGAGTCAGGCTAGAAGAGGGTCACCGGAGAGAAGGACGGTTGGGGGCTGCCGGAGTAAGGTTGAAGTGGTGGGGTCCAAAGGTTAGAAATGGGATTATAATGGGTGCTCAAAGAAAAAATGGAGGTGATCAATTTTAGATTTTGGTGTGTAGGCGTCCAAAGAAATAGGTGGTCCTAAATAATTTGATGGGGCTATTAGCAGCTTCCATTTTAATATATAGCTCTAACTTCTTCCTTTTTCAAAATTTCCCATAGTGAAAATTTGAACATATAGTTTTTATAGTATGGTCTTTAATTTTTTCTTGATTTTGCACTTGTAGATTTTATTTTCACACCTCTAAAAATTTTCCCATTGACCATATTTTATATAGGAATACTAACCATCGCCCTTTGACCGATTGATAAGAATATGTGAAATGTATGAGAACATTTAAAATTTATATTAGAATTCAATACTATTTGCTTCTTAACCAACTACCATTGGGTTGTGGTTAGCAGGACGCTTTATGTATGCATATATATTTCTTTTGATTATAAAAAAATGTAGGGTTTTCAGTGAGGTTTTGCCCTTACTGGATAAAAATTCCACATATACCAAATAAAACAAGGTTGACTAAGTGATACGTATTCGCCAAAGGAACTGGATTTAGGCTCACTGCTGGACTGCCATGCATTCAAATGGCACCCCTTTGTTTTTTTTTTTGTTTTTTTTTTTTTTAGGCCAAATGATGTAGTTTTGGAGTGAGTGTAAACAAATGTTCCAAATACATTTCCATTGGAGGAAGAAATGTTTGACTTGACACTTAACATGACACAAATCATAGATAAAGTTAGCGGGTTTGGGTTAATTATTTTTCAACGAGATATAAAACAACATGAACAGGGCCAACACAATATATTGAGTTAATAAAACACAAACATGAAAAATGAAAAACTATACAATAATTAATAGATACATTTCAATTCCCTATAATTCTCAATTATAAAACAAAAAATGTGTCATCAAAAGTTTTTTCTTACATCACATTTCAATTCTGTGGGGGAATGTTTACAAATTACCCAAAAAATTAGAAAAATATCATTAGGAAAGAATGACTTAGCTCCATAGGAGTGTGCTATACTAGATCAATTTATTTTGTGTCAAAAAATGATAAATTCTAACCTACTAATTTTGTGTACACTTCATGCTAGGTTAACATGTCAGTGTCAAAAAATTTCACCCCTAATAAAAAATGTACTTAATATTTGTTTACAGTGACTCCAAAATTACATTGTTTGGCCATGAAAGTATGCAACTAAAACTTGAAGGAAAAAAAAACTGTTGCAGTTTTAAGGCACAATAGTTGCAGCAGTGACCTCAACCCCGACTTTTTGTGGCTAATTTTACATCATTAAATGGACACCTTATAGGATCAGGTAGAAAAGAGAAGTCGTGTATCCCTTATGATTGAGACTCCACTATTTTGTAATTTTAAGCGACGTAATCTCATCGCTCTCACCATTTTATGTTATAATAAATAATATTACTGTTCACTAAAGTTTTATACATCAAATCATGGCAAATTTCTATTTAATGACGCTCGATTTGTTTCAACAGAAAATGTTTTTCTCTGTTTGGTTGCGTCATTGAAACTAATGTACTAATGGTTGTATTAGTGGTGGTAGCAGCGGCAGCGGGGTGGAGGTGGTGGTGGGTTGATGGAGGGAGTGGTGGTAGTAGTGTGGTGGAATTGGTAAGACTTTAAACCGAAAAGTCTTTTCTACCTTCTAAAAATATAAAACATTTTTCATCAAGATAGGCTTGCTTTTTGTTGACCGTGGATAACGTTTTTGACTTTCGTTTTCCGTTGTATTAAACACTAGAAAACATTTTCCGCCCAAACAAACAGAGCGTAAGAAACTCATCAAATGGAAGGTCACAAACCCATTTTAGGGCAATACTCTATAATCTCAAAGATCATTGATTCAAGGGAGATGGACGGTTGAAAAATAATCAGAGATGGAAGAAAATAACCATCTACTGTCACTATAAACCAAAGTGGTTAAATAAAAGAAAAAGAAAAAACAATATGAACCATACCTGCTCTTTCATATTCATTTAACTCGAAAAAACATTGAGCAGCCAACTCATGCTTGCCAATGGACTCGTATATATCAGCAGCCTGCCTAAGGTTATTGTCTGACATCTCTGTATTTCGACCACGCATTTGGTCAGCAGCCACACGAAGTTGAGAAGCCTTAGTATATCTTTCCCAATGTGTGTCTCCCGCTCTTTCAAAGCAAGTTATCGCGTTCTTAAAGTTGTGCTCATGAAAGAACTGCAAGAAATGAAACATGCATACTTTAGAAAAGTACACTGCACTATGCTTCTCTGAACCTGTACTATCAAAAAAGTGGTGTCATCAAAGCAGAAATAGTAATAATAGTGCTAGTTAATTGAAAGGCAAAGCAAACCTTGATGCCCCGGGACTTCCACTCCTCTTGACTACTTTCAATTTGCATTTCCCTCGCAAGTGAATCATCTAGTAGTTTTTCTTCGACTATACGGAGCTTCTTCCAGTAGTCAAACATTGGTTCGGAGAACTCCTCAACATTCTCACAAATCCACAATCTTTGCCTTGTCCGAGTGATAGCCACATATAATTGCTTCAACTCAGAGCACAAGACGCTGTGTTTTTCCAGATTGAAACTTGGAAAGGATGTATGTGAAGTGGAGTCAAGTAGGTTTTGTTCCTTCATATATCCATATATGATTCGCCATTGGTTTCTCAAAGGTGATGAGCTAAAGAAGTTATACAACAACACGTCCTACAACATGACATGAAGTGATATTAAGGTATCCATATATTCATTTATCAATACTATCTCTTCATGGATCAATCCATATCAAATAACAGGCCTGCTAGTTACTAAGAAGAGATCTTGTCAGAGAAAAAGCAAAGCGATTCACTAAAAGTAACAATTTTCAAGCTAACAAAATTTTCTAAGAAACAAGAAAAAAAATTAAAGTAACGACCACCAATCACCTGAAACTCCAGGCCTTTGCACTCCATGACAGTCAATACAAGAGCATGTGTCCCAACGTAGTTGAAAATTTCCTTCCTGGCACAATCATCACGAACTAGTATCACTTGCTCTGCTCCAAATCCAACAACTTTATTTGCAGTGTTTCCAAATATAGTCATTATTGCAGTTTCATTATTATTGGATTCAAGCAAAATAGGGGCATCCCCATTTACAAAACTAGTTTCAGGTCTCAAGAAATCAATAGAACAGGGAAAGAAATGGTACACAAGATCAATAACACTCTGTGCTAACTTGAGTACTCCAGCATGAGTGCGAAAGTTCTGGCTCAAATTAAAAATGTCCGAAATGTGCCCTTTCTCTTTTCTTACTTGTATCTCATCACTTTTCAATCCCATTACAAATTCCTCATAGAATAGACATCTTATATCTTCAAACCTAAAATCAATACCCCGTGCTATAGTTTGAGCCGTGTCACCCGAAAAAACAAAGCCATCATCAACATTTCTACAGATGTATTTGAAAAGAGCTATTTGGCTCATCGAAAGATCCTGCACCTCATCAATATACACGAAGTCCATTGAATGACCCTCATATCTTTCATTCCTTAGTCGACAATGAAGATCAACCACTAAGTCAGCCAAATCAAATTCACCACTCACCACCTTTTTCTTCTCATATTCCAAGAAAATATCATAAACGATCTCCCTTGTCTGCTCACCAATGAGTGACCCCCGACCCTCAGATAATAAAACATAATCTTGTCGAGAGAGTTTCCCATCATGAGCCTTCCCTGCTTGTAACCCACCTTTTATTATAGACATTATTTCGGTAAACACTGTGGAAGGATCAAGTTTTTTGGTAAGGTAGGTATTGAAATGAGGCCAGTAAGACCAAACAAATTTGTCATAGTTAACCTCCTTTGTCCTGATAAAAGTTTCTAAGGCAACTGATCTTGAATTACCGGTTTTACCATGACAGAGTTTCCTAACCTCAGGGAATCTTTCAAAGTAAGAAGTACCAACTGTCCCATTGAGCATCATCAAGAACTTATGGAATGTTATGACAAGAGGGTACAACTCTGGTGGAAGATCAACAAAAGAGTCAGGGATGTTTGTAAATTGTGTTGTGTCATCAATATCATCCACACGAATTGAACTGCTTTCAGCTGAAGATTTCCCTTGACATATAAAGCTGTACATTTGGAAAAGCAAACAATTAGATACATATTTCAACGCACCTAATGCATGAATGTTTTTACCAATAAATATTTAAATTACTTCTCTTCTACAAAAGAAACACCATAAAGATTGGATTACGTCAATTATGAAACCAATTAATTAAAATCTACATCGAAATACATGAGTGGATCACCACTACAAATGATTACATTGAATCAAAATTACAAATTGTTCACACACAACCCACACAGTGGGAGAGGTCAAGGGATCGATCTTTAAGATCAACTTTCTAGCCTGTATGGAGATCTTTACCTTGCATTAAAGAGAGACGAGGAGCGTGTGGGAACGAGAGCAAGTGCTTTTGGACGAAAGTATTGTCACGCCCCAAATCTAGGAGCATGACAGTGAACCACGACCATGGTTCATAGAACAAGAAAGCCTAACAATCCATTCAAATTGCTGAAAGGACAAGTACCAACAACCAATACCAAAATTATAAGTTTTAATCACAGTCCACAATTTTTGGTTGGGATTATTAATCCATAAGACTCACATTCCATTGTTTGGTAGCAATTTTTGTTATTTATCTCACTAATCTAGTTGGATAACCAATTCTACACTAATCTCACGGGTTGTTAATCCCCTCACTATTGATCCTGCCAATCAAACAGGGCCCATAGTCAATAAATCTCAATTTATTAAACATGTTTAAACAAAAAATTCAACAAATATTTACTCAACATAAAATTTTTACTACTGCAAATATAATGTTGTAAACAAGATTGTGGGAAAGGGGAAGCAAATCCACATAAATAACAACACAAAGCTAAGTGTCATATATATGCATATTTAAAATCATGGCATGGGCAAACTTTACTTTACCCCCTTGTGGTTTGGACCATGTGTGGTTTACCCCCTGACATTTGGAAATCACCACATAACCCCGACGTGATTTGTGGATTGAAGTGTACCGTTAAAAATTCCGTCCAACTTAACATGTGTGAAAACATGGCAGACATAAGGGGGGTTATATGCTCATTTTCAAAGTTTAAGGAGATAAATCGCACATGGAATAAAGCACAGGGGGTTAAAGTGCACTTTGCCTTCCAAACAAATGACGAAAATACAGGGGTATTTTAGTTTTTTTCACTAAATCATTAATGGGCTTAACGGTGCACTTCAGTCCACAAACCACAAGGGGGTTATGTGGTTATTTCCAAAGGTTAAGGGGGTAAACTGCACATGGCCCAAACCACAGGAGGGGTAAAATGAAGTATGCCCTAAAATCATTGTCTCTTATTGATATCTCATATCACATATCCCAGGTGAGTTGGCTAAAAGACCCAAAAGTCTAGTCTAGAGGGTTTGCACCACTGGAACCTTAGACATATTAAAGGACTCAATGAGGTACACATGTAGGATTCCAACTGATGCTAAAAAAACTCTCTTCACAATTCATAATTATGAATGAAACGAATTTCTTTTAGGTGCATGAATCTCCTCAGCCTATTTCTTTTTCTTTTAGTTTTGTTGAAATTACTTTGGTAGTCTGCCTTATTTACTTTTAGCTATCTAATTCTCATACACCCTACACGTTTCAAATTTTGATTATAAACAGGTAAAGAAAAGATTAGTTGCAAGCGGGCAATTAATGTATATCACAATTCTTGTCAATGTCACGAGCCAATTCAGCATTGAGAATATAACAGAGATGATGTCTCAAATGTGGCACTTGAAATACATGGAAGCCAGAAGCAAGCTACTAAGCAGAGTGCAATAATAGCAGGTGGAACCGCAGAGCTAAAAAACTGGATAGTGGGTAAATGAACCTAATATCTTGAACTCTAGTCCACATGATCTATGTTTCTTTTCAGATGGATCACTAGTAATAGAGAAGGATAAGAAGAAGTGGATATCAATTTTAAAAATCCTAGAAAAATGTAAGTGAAACCATGAAGTTGTAGAAATCATTTGCAAAGCATGTCTCATTGTCCTATCCCCTACTATGCTACAAGTATGCTATATCACAACAATTTTGGGCAATCCATCTCATTTCAACTGCAAAAAATAAAAAATAAATAACAAAAAGAGAAAATAGGAAACAATTGATCATCGTGATGATATACAAATCTAGCATAATATTCGAACAGAAAGGGTTCAGCTGCTTTTATTTACTGACCTTTTCAATTGAGACACATCTTGTTTGACTGCATAACACAGTTTTGGACTCACTGTAACAAAAATCTGGTGCAAGACAGCTCCCTTGGTCTCCCGGTCACTCTCACTGACACCAGATCTCCCGCTAACATCAGTGGAGAGATCGCTCTTTGTTCCATGAAATCCTTCTAATGCTATATAGTACAATTGCTCATTCTGAATTAACTTTGTGGTCAAAACACTTGTTTTCCCAGTGCCTGACCTTCCAAGTATAAAGGTGCTTCTACTGAAAAGAATGATCTCCTTTTGTTGGCTTGTTAATTCAAAGGGAAGACCCATTTCTTTACCATCGTAACCAGAAAGCATGTGGCTGACCATACCAGATGACAAGGAGTAGAATTTCATCAGTGAAAAACTGTCACCTACTTTTGTGTTCTCAATGTAGCTTTCTTCAGAAGCAATGACATTTGAAGTATTCCCTGCTTCAGTGTCATGAGAAATTTTATATTTCACAATATCAGATGAGGAGTCCCAGGTCATTGGAACTTCAAAAACCCTACACTCAAAAATAATGACAATAATGATTAGATGATGGTGATCAACAATGATGATGACAGTAATAAGAATGCCAACAATAAAACCCAGATGATAATGTTAAATTCTAAGTTTCATAGTTCGAATTTTGCATTTAATTCCTCACGCTAAAGAAGATTCAGATGCAATAGAGTACACAAACATGTACTTACCCCTCAATATATTTGACCTTGCACCGATTGAGATAATCATCAGTATACATTCGAAATACGCCATCCAGACGTCTATCCAGTTTTGGAATTTCCTCTAAAGGCAACACATCCCAAACCTTCAAGATTTGGCACCATGATTCCTTAACCATGTCTATGTCATTTGAGCAAACAATGTAGTGTCCCATGATGTAGAACTTTTTCAAGATCTGTGATGAGCTTTCACAATTGATGCCTGCATGATTCCATTTTGGTCGCCATCCCGTAGAAAGCTTTGATAGGTAATGAAGAACTAACTTCTTCATCTCCAATGACTTCAGCTTTGCAAATGATTTCCTAAAGTTGTCGCTGAACAGAACCTGAGAGTACAAGTTTTGAGAATAAACAAAACAGCAACAAAATAAAAAAAATAAATTATAAGAAAACATTATATCAACAGATCTAAACTAATAAATAAATAAATAAATAAATTTAACAGAAAAGAAATATATCAAAAGATCTAATGTGCTCACCCAAGACATTAAGGATAATTAAAAGGATTAAAAGTTAAGCTACTATAAGTTATACCTTCCACTTTTTGTTCTTGAACAGCATACTATCCCCGTTAAGCAAATCATCTAGTTGATCAAGCTCTTTCATGACCTCTAATACGACTTTTTTAATATCTTTATTTTCATCAGCACTAAAGTAACACTCACGGGCTTTGGCATCACAGATAAGTTCTTCCCACACAGATTTACTCCTACTCAGTGCTCTTTCATTCCCCAAAATCCAGAGACAATGCCTGAAAGGGATCAAAACTGTCAGTTTTGTTATTCAAAAACTTCAAAGTAAAATGAAAATGTGTACCCTATCTAGTATTATTATAAGCCCACTTGAAACCATACCTAGCCCTTGTCAAAGCAACATTTGTTCGTTGAGGACTAGAGATGAACTCAATTGATCGATCACATCGTACTGTTGATATTATTATTACATCTTCCTCTCCACCTTGAAAGCCGTCAATTGTTTTGACCTTTACAGTGAAGCTATCATGGTTCTCATACTTCTTTCCAATTTTCTGATTAAGTTCTGCAATTTGAGCAGAGTAGGGAGTTACTACCCCAACACTAACCTTCTGCTTTGATGCTTTGCATGCTGCACATGGAAACAAGAAGATTACCAACATATGGTTAGTTAAAACTAATGATGGTACTTAAAGAAAAAAAATCTAGGAGGACCTTCTAAAAATTATTCAATATGATAGATCATTCATGTTTTAGTTCAAGAATTCAAATCGCTTCACAGTTTTTCTCTTTATTTTATGTTGACTTTTGTTTGAAAAGGGAAACATTTTATAACACGGAAGGAAAAGTACAATATTTTGTTATCCCAAAAGAAATTGCCCCAAAAATAATTTGTAAAAAAAGTTTTTCTTTTGTTTTTAAGTAGTAGTATCGGGATTTTGTTCAGTGAGATAACATAAACACATGAACATTGATAATATGCAATATTGAACTGATACCTTTGTGGAGCAACTGCAGTATTTTTAATACAACAGTGACTTCAACCATATTCATCCAGCTACCTTGAGCATCACGCACTTCTTTTCCACAAGAAATGTTTATGAAAGAAAAGTGGCCAAACATTGGATCTGGAAGATAGCATTTTCTGCAACTCTTAACGTTCGGTGCATCCATGATCTGACTTTGGTAGAATTTTGAGTTTGGGAATGAACATATTGATGGATGCATTCGGTACTGAATATTGAGAAGGTGTTTTGAATGACCCATAAGGGTCAACCTTTCAAAAAGACTTCTTCCGAAACCAGCTTCTTCAGAAACCTACAAGAAATACAAATATTATGTGTCCAGAACATATTTAAAAGAAAAATTAACATGGCAAACAACAGCAACCACAATTGGTAGGAATCTGATAGACTTCATAGTACATATCAGAAGGACAAGTAGCAATTGCTTACTTTGCTACGAACCATAGCTGGTAACTGGCATTCATCACCAATGAGAATGACGTGCCTTATACCCGGGAGCTGTAAGGGTATTATCGATTCACACTTTCATCTGCGCAGCTTCATCAATAACCAACAAACGGAGTGGCTCCATTGACACTGAATGCAGCTTGTGTGAACTTGAAGATGTGCACAAAATTAATGAAGCGTTTTGAAAACAGAATTCCTCCACTGAATCTTTGTTCGTACCAGTTGGAAAGTCAAGCTCATCAAGTGAACACTGAAGAGTTTTCAAAGCACAAAGGCATTCACTTCTCATGAATGGAACAGTAAATTTATCTCTATCAGACTGAGAAGCATCAACTAAGTCAGGTTTTGAGAAAACCTCATTCAGTTCTTCAGAAACCTTATCGTCTCGATTCAACAAAGTCTCAAATGAATCAAGTAAGGCAATGAGGGATACCATCCTTTGGAAATTATGTTCCTTAATGCAACTTATGGGCACATGAGTACAAATTGTAGAAACACATCTTCTGAGTGCTAATGCAGCATGTCTGAATCGGTCTCTCACAAACTGAAGAAATGATTTTTGCTCCACCTTTCTGTCATCACTTCCATTGCTGCATTTCTCACTGCTCAATTGATTATCACAAAAATTTTGGTATTTTGAAACACAATCTTCCAGAAATTCTATCATTGAAGTGAAGCAATACTTCCAACCAGTTATTGGTGATCCAAAGCACTCGGCAAGATTTTCAACACGATAATCTAAATATACATCCTGAACATCCGAACTAACTTTTAATCGGGCCTTATTACCACATAAGAGAATATCTCCCAGAGAGCAAAATAAAGCATCCTTCCTAGCACCTGTGTCAAATGACTTTCTCACCACTTCCACAACACGAGAGGCAACTTCTGTAATTGCTATATTTGTCGGGGCACAAGTTAAGGTCCTACATTTCAATCCTAGGAGGGCCCAAAGCAACATGCCAAGAGTTCTAGTTTTCCCTGTCCCTGGGGGGCCCCAAATAAGTTCCACAAATGACCTGTGGTTACACTGGATTTTGCATATCGAAGAGACTACTGCCTTGTATTGAGACTCATTCAGCTTAGATGACAAGCACAATTTATCTTCCCAGATTTGATTCCTTTCTTCAGAGCACAGATTACAAGTTTCATCAACCTGTTAACCATGATCAGACTGTTAATAATTTTTCTATGAAAGTGCTAATAAAATTAGTAAAACATATAATTTTGGGACCCACGATATTCTCCCACAAGGTGAAGAAAACTATACAGTTTAACTCAATGATGGTCTAGAGAGGACAATTTAAATTTACTACCTTTAAAACAGGTTAGTTACTACCTTTATTCCATACAAGTGAAGAATGAAAATTATCTAATACAAATTTTCTTCTGCCCAGCTTTTTTCTCTTTTTTTTTTTTTTTTTTTTTTTGCTGGAGCCCTTCAAAATTCTTACCGTAGTGTTGGTGTACAAAAGTTTCTCCATAACCTCCTGATTTGTCAACATGTGCAGTGCACTCCATATTCTTTTGCTAGTTGTTATATTAATCAGGAAAACCACATAAGAGAATTTATGCATTCCATCTTTGACACGTGAGTCATTTGGTACTTCGACTTTAAAATGAGTAGCTGCAATGTCATCATCTCCAGTTCTTTTTCTCACACATCCAAGAGTCAATGTCCTTCCTGACCTTTTTAAATCATCTATAGTTTCAGGCTTTGCTTCTGTGAAAACAAAAATATCTCCAGGCAATGCTCTGTAAGGCACCTTACTCTGATGACTAGATATGTTTCTCCAATAATCAACTGTAACATCATACGTCCGTGTTTCATATGGCTTGTATTTAAGCACTTTGGCAAAAGGTGCATTGGATATAGCCTCCATACTTGAAGATAGTTCTGCTCGTATTTCTTCCAATAAAGGTGAAACAAATGATCCAAGATAATGTTGTACTGACTGAAATGATTGTGGGATCCTTTCCAGCTAAAAAATCAAACAACGTACTCGATTAAAATAAGGTACTAACTGAAGTTCTTAACAGTTTGTACAAATCTAGATATAACATTTATCATAAGCAGAAGATTTGCATGACGTGGAAAGCAATTTACATGTAAAATGAAGTCCTAACTGTTTGTATTTGTCTCAAATTTGTAATTTTGTTGGCTTTCCTTTATAGAGTTTCTTGCAAGAAAAGAATTCCCTCTTTTCCCAGCATGAATTCAGTTTAAAGCTCTATAAAGAGGGTTTGTGATAGGAATTTGGATGTACCAAAGATAAGGACAGAAAAAAAGGATACATAGAGGACTCTACCACCCACTCACTCACTATCCTTTGTCTTCAAATCCATTACGCTAAGCTAAGAAGCATGAACACCACACGGACAGGTTGACACACCAATTTTCAAAAAATGCAGAACATGACACATCAGGAACATGCACAGAATATATGGTTTTATATATTTATTATACATCATATATATTAATATTCATTCAAAGATAATAAGAAATGCAACATAACACCATTTCCTAAAGTATAAAAAAGGGATTAACAGGTATTGTGAGTATACGAATAATATGTGTTATGATCTCACAAATCAACAATTACATGCACTTAATGTATATACCAAGAACTAAATCCTAATTTGGAAAGAAAGACTGACAAGAACAAAAAATGAGCAGAACCGAAGAGCATCAAGAGTTGTCCAACAAGAACAAAAAATGAGCAAAAGTGTGAGTCTTGGTGAAGAAGTCAGTAAGCTGCAAAGAGAAGGAAATAAAAGGAAAAGCAACTGTCCCTGACTGAAAATGCTGATGAATAAAGTGACAATCAATTTCAATGTGCATAGTACGCTCATGGAAAATGGAATTGTGAGCAATCTGGATGGAACTTTTCTTGTCACAGTAGAAAGGGATAAGAGAAGAGAAGAGAACACCCAGATCAGAAAGGAGCTAATGAAGCAATACTATCTCAGCAATTGCATGTTTCATAGCACGTTATTCGACCTCAGCAGCTATATGTGCCATAGCACGATATTCGGCCTCAGCAATTGACTAGGTCACAACAAACTGTTTCTCATTGCATCATGAGATAAGGGAGTTAGCAAGAAAAATGCATAAACTGGAAGTAAACTTGTGATTAGAAGCGTCACTAGCATAATCAGCATCAACATAAGCGCGAAGCATCGATGGAGAAGAAGAAGACATCAACAAAACAAATATAGTAGAGAATGCGAAGCAACCTAGTGAGTAGAATAGGGAGCAGAGACAAATTGGCTAACCACATGAACAACATAGGCAATATCAGGGTGTATCACAGTGAGATAAACTAAGCACCAACCAACTTGGAATGGAAGAACCCCATCAGATGGATAGAACTTGGAATAGAATTCAATGGGAGTGTCAATGACCTTCTCATCAGTAAGATGAATGTGGATGCCGTGCCTTTTTCGAGTATAAGGCATGTTTCCACCTAATGTTGTGCCAATTCGCTTTATCCCACATCGAAAGAGTCACCACTTAATTTTTAGGGGGAATTAAGAAACCTTTAACAATGAAAACTAAGTAATAGACCTAATCCGTCATGACCAGAGAATTTTAGGTTCGGAAGCTAAGGTACAAAAAGGGAAGGTCGTTGAATGAAAACACCCCTTTTACCCAATCCGAAGATTGGCCTCTACTAACTTTCTATTTTATGATTTCAATGATTAATTATTCACACAAGCCATTTTCAGCCTAAAACCATTAACTAACCCTAAAACTAGGTGATTTGAATAAAATAAACATCATTTATTTAATATTCAAAACATAAAGCCATACTTTAAAATAAATAATAGTTTTCCAATGAAAATAGGTTTTTAGCACAACATGGCCATAAACTTAATCTAAAATAAACAATATACTTAGAAAATATGAGGAGGAAGAAGAACTCCGAAAATATGAGGAAGAAGGAATATATTTCTGTTATATTCAAAACTTCTTATTTTACAAGACCAAATGACACTCCTTATATAGGAGATATTACAAACATCATTATAACCCATTATATGCCACTTACATATTATATATTACCACTATCTACCACTATCATATTATATGCATGCCACTATCTACCACCAACACCACTATCATATTCTATACATGCCACTATCTACCACCAACACCACTATCATATTATATACATGCCACTATCTTATTATAACACAAATTTCCAGCAAATATTTATAAAACCATCCAACACATCTAATTTTGCATAGAAAATCACATAACTTGCATTATTGAAAAGACAATGCACCAAACGAACATATGCTATGGAGGGGAGGAAAGACTTACGTGGATGTCCACTTTCAGCGTGTTACATGTAATGCTTGAAATAAAACACGACCTAATATACAACTAAGCATACAAAATAGGGGGAACTACATACAGGCGGGAGAAGGAGAAAATAATTACCAACACATGGAGGGGTGCAAGTGTCACCGCTACAACCTTTCATTTGCACCCCACCACAGACACACTTGTACCCCCATGTGTTTGTAATTTTTTTTCCTCTTCTCCCACCTCCATGTAGTTCTCCCTACAAAATATGATCCTAGGCCCGGTTTTAGGCTACTAAATGATGCTTATGCACAAAAAGCAAATAGCAAATAGAAGGTGAAAATACAAACTAACTACATGATGATTCAAACCGAGCCTACTGCATGATTTCTACATGATTAAGCAAGCCTAAATATGCTGTTCTAAGGAGAATAAATAAATCATGCGAAAATAAGCGAAAAGGTGAGCAAAACGACCAAACTACATGATGAGATGATGAACTAAGACCCTAGCAATAATTGGCTACTGAAAATAGATAGAAAATAAGTACTGAAATTAACAAAGAAAAGGATTTTACCTGCTGGTTTTCAAGAACCGAAAAGGACGCGAAGAACAAGACAAGAAAACTATGTTTCTTGCTTGTAGGCCTCCCTCAAGATTTGGTTTTTGAGTTTAGTTCAAGTCTCCAAGTCCTTAGGTTATTTTTTAATGCCTTCAGTTGCAGTTAGGGTGGGAAATTTCGAAATAAAGGATGAGGGGGAGGGTCTCTCTCTCACAAGCTCTCAAATGCTCTCAAAAGTTAACAATTTTCTAAACCCTTAAAAGTGGGGGGTGGGAGTGCTTTTATAAGCACTCTTGACTTGGGGAGGAAGCCAAAGGAGGCTGCTAGGATTAAGCATCGCTTTCTCTCTAGCACCTCCCTCCAATGCCGCATTGCCATCCTTGCAAAATTCCATTCCAGTCTGTTGGAGGGAAGTGTGAGCATACAAGAGAAGTCCGACCGCACGAACCAGTTGCGGCCGCACAAGGCAAGTGCAGGTGCGGCCATTGATCCCAGTGTCAACTTTGCATGGCTAGGTGCAGGTATGCATGGCTACGTGCGGTTTCGCATGGCTTTTGCATACTTAAGGCCCAAGTAAATCCAAATTGCCTTTCAATCAATGTTTTTGATAAAATCTAGTTTATAATTTTGGAAAATGCCATCAATCTAGATGCAATTGGGGCTTCTCCCTCTCTCTCGAGGTTGGAAAGTTAGTTTTTGGCTGAAAAACGGGTTCAGGGGTATTTCGATCATTTTTGCAAAAAGTTAATTTTGTGCCGAAATAGGGTATAACAGCAATCTTAAGCAATTTCTAACATTCGAAGGATGAAGATATTACCATTTCATCATCGGGAGGCTTACAAGCGCCCGAAATCTTAGGGTCAGTCAAAATGGAGTGTGTACAACGGGCACGGCGAAGAATCTCATGAGCATACTTGAACTAGGATAAGAGATAACCCATGGGAGAGGAAGCAACCGCAATACCAAGAAAGTAACGTAGAGGACCAAGATCTTTCATCTCTAAAGCTTGAAACAAATGTTACTTCAACTCAGAAATAGCAGAAGAATTAGACCCAGTTATAATCATATCATTCGTATAAAGTAATAAAATAACCATCCCATCAGAAGAATTATAAAGAAAGAGAGCAAATCATGAACACTAGAGCGAAACCGATCTGAGTGATAGTTGACTAAAAGCACTCATACTAAACATGAAGAGATTGCTCAAACCATAGAGAGCACGACACAAGTAACAGACATACACTGCAGGATGAGACAAGCCTGTTGGACACATAAAAACTTCCTCATTAAGTTGACTATTGAGGAAAGCAATCTTAACATCAAGCTGAAAGAGAGGCCACTTATGAATTGCAACAATAGCAATTAAGTTACAAGTAGTAGTCATCTTAGCAACAGGGGCAAACATCTCCTCATAATCAATCCCATACTCCTAAAAAAACCCTTGGCAACAAAGCAATCCTTATAATGTTCCCAAGAACCATCAAAGTGAGTTTTAACTTTGTAAACCCATTTACACCCAACCAGATTTTTACTTGCAGATAGAAGAATCCACTCCCAAGTGTAAGCCTTTTCAAGAGAAGCTAACTCATCTTCCATACCATGGACCAAATTAGGGTCAATACACGCATCTTTATAAGACTGAGGCTCAAAGTAAGCATGAAGAGAAGACAATAAAACACAATACGAAGGAGAAAAACAACTATTAACAAAACTAAGTCTTATGAAGATTTTCAATCACGAAACGGATAGCGCTACTCAGGAGGAGCAAGATCCATCAAAGTAATGGGAGGACCAATAGAGCCAATGGATGTTGGATTAGGATACACAAAAGCAAGGGGAGGAGTAAGGCTAGACACGAGTGGAGAAGGAGCCTTTCTGTGACAATAGACCAAAGAAAAAGGCTAGATACCTAAGGGAGAAGCAAAGGAAGAGGGAATCAATTCTTGACGGAGTAAGGGAAGATGGGAGCTGTGAATTGGATTCAATAACCATATTAGTTAAGTGGCGGACAACGTGAGTCCGAGTTGTGTATAAGCTTGATTGGGTAATGTGGAAGTTCATCCTTTGGTTAGAGCCCAGGAAGATACTGTGCAAGATAGAAGGCTGGTAACCTCCTTAAGAGGAAAGCGAAACATGCATGCATGAGAATTGTGTCTCCACTAGACCATGTTTCCATTCGAGCCTACTCTCTTGTCTATTCTCTCTCTAACACCTCTACATCCTACCGAGCTATATGTGCAAGGAAGTGTTAGAGTTGTCCCACATCATCTCTTTAAACCACCCATGCTTAGTTAATATACCCCAAAGATCCCTCCACTAATCGCCAATTGGTTTTGAGTTGGGTGCTTTAACAGTTCCAATGTGTGCATGATCTATTTTGAGAATTAATCCTAAATATAAGGTGGATGTAGACAAGTGCATGTGTGACAAGCTATTTTAAACAATGAAAACTTGAAGATATTTTTTTAAAGCAAGAGAGGATGTTGTTGACCAAATTTTAGGGTAATTATATCTTTATTTTTATTATTTAGGAATTAATACTTGATTTGGGTATAATTTATTTTAGTATAGAATATTCTAGAATGAGTTGGTTTTCTAAAGTGTATTGATTTGATTATCGTATTTTATTGATTTTGATTTTATTTCCTTTTCCATTAAATTAACATTTTAAAATTGACTTGTCATAAAAATCAAGCATCATAATGGTGAAAGACATCTTTTGTTGAATCAATAATAAAATTACATAGGGCGTTTGTCTATATCAAGTTGTTTGTGGTAGTTCTTGTTGCTAGCGTTACATGCTTCTCTGCATTACTTGGTTATCAAGTAATATTTACTATAAATTGAGTTGTAAGCTTTTAAAGAAAATAAGGTGTTTTGAGGAAAATTTTAAAGAAGTTGTCATATAGTTCGTGTTTTCCTGCATCAATAATAGAAAAAAAATACTTTTTGACTGTTATGTGAAACACCATTGTACTAAAGTCCATGGAATTCAAAGTCCTGCCACATCTACCAAAATTAAGAAATTTAGTTTCAAGTAGTTTTACAAAAAGCAAAGATGTAATGGAAACTATCATTAATGGACAAAATTGAAGACATTAGTGTCATAAATAGAGATATAAATCTTCTTAATTTGATTAGCCAAATAGATGTTGATAGAGTCTAGTGGAGAAGAAGGATTAATGTATCTGACCCCGCTTGATAGGACTTAAGGCTTGGTTTGGTTTGGTTAGAACACAATATCAATACTATATGAATTTCAAAAACACATTGTGGGGTATCTGGCAATGTTTAAAGCTGGCTTGGAGCGAAGGACATCGTCGGATCATCATTGAGTCGGATTCAGCGGAAGCAATTTCGGCTTTGGCAAAAACAAACCCACTGCACCCTCAATTTAATATTTGTCAAGAAATTTGGGAGCTAATGGAAAGGAGTTGGGAGTGTGACCTTCAACAAATCTGGCGGGAAGTTAATGTCTGTGCTGATATGCTTGCAAAAGGGGCCCTTGGTATGGATGCTGGCAGGGAATATCTGGTAGATGAGCCCTCTGTTCTGGCTACGGCTTTAGAAAGTGACATATTGGGGATTGGTTCTTCTCGTAGTGTTATTCTTTAGTTTTGGCTTCGGCCCGGAGTTTACCAAAAAAGAAAAAAAACACACATTATCATGTAATCCATTCTACCTGGTTTGATATCTCTACTCGATTGAAATGAATGCAATTCAAGATGGTACAAAACTGTTGAAGAACCACAAATTTAATTAACATAACATGTATATCCATGTGTGCACATGTATATATATAATATATGTATGTGCTTTAATAGGTAGCAATGTTATTGTGGCAGATAATGGTTGGCTAAATTTCCACAAAATTCGTGGATTTGCAGGTTAGAGCCCGGCATGTACACCTCGCTGCGCAAATTGTATGATCTAATTTTGGACAAAAAACTACAATAAAATAGCTAGCAAAGAGGAAAAAATAGAACAAATAGCTAACAAAACAGCAAAACTCTGATTGTCAATCAGCTGATCCATAGTTAATCCAACACCTAGCTATTGGTCACAACATAGATATATAAATAATGGGTAATGGGTAATAGATATTATAGAATTTCGCATAATAAATTAATAAAGCTACATTAACCTATATGCCAGCATCAGCAGTGACAATCACTGAACTGCATACTTGCCAGCTAAAATAAAATGAAAAATTATTTAAATTTAAACACAAACAAAACCCTTCAAATATTTTCTTTAAAATACCAGACAATAGTGATCATCATGGTTTCATGAAATTTTCAACAGCTAAAGAAAAACCTGAATCATTTATTTATGGTTCCTCATCAGCATGCAAAATTAACTGGAAGCAATCATATTTAAAAAACACAAAAAGCAAAACAAAAGTGCATATGTATGTTGATAATCTATAACAAAAACACAAAGAGCAAAAAAATGTCATTAAGCATCTAATAAATTAGGACAAGGGAATGATGGAAAATGGAACATAAAGCACACCTGGCTTTTGTAGAGACTCTCATTGCAAATGTCTTCCAAAGACCATGAAAATACCCAATTAATTAAGTCTGGGTGGTTAGGCTTTGCTCTCTTCTTGTGAGATGGAATCCCTGATATCATCATTCTTCACTCTCTCTATCACCTTTCTTCCAATTGGTATATGTATATGATGTGCTTCATTTCTAACAACAAAATGATAAAAACCCCATTTCAGTTCCACCTATTCTATATAAGGCCCTCAAACAAATATCTATACTATATATAAAGTCAACAATTGAATAGAAAGGTGAACAAGGCTCAAACAATATGACCTTTGTTTCTTAAACAACACCTTTGTCACTTGACCAACTCATACTACATGTTTTTAATTCAGATCAAAATTTATATTTTACAAATTTAATAACATGCCCATGGGATAAACACACACTCACTAATCAAAATTAATAAAATTAAGACAAAAAATTTATCTATTTTTTTATTAATCTTTTATAAACAGACGTGCTAAAAAATAAAATAAGAATTGATTTTTTTATAATATAACTTTTTAACTATTCAAAATACTCCTAATGTGTTAGTGTTAGTGTTTCTTACTTATGAAGGAAGGAAATGAAAGCAGAGAGAGTTAGATATAACCTTGGAATCTAGCAGTACAAACACTTGCCACCCGCACCGACCACGCTTAAAGGTATGGAGAACTTAGTTGCATAAATAAATAAATAAAAGGTATGGAGAACACAAAAGATACATGCATAGTAAAAAAAACTTAAAATTTTATTGTGTTATTTAGATTTAAATATATGTATTGTAGGATTAAAATAAATCTGAATTCCACAATATTTTTTTTCATATATTCTGTGAATAAATTTTGTATACTTCAATATTATTGTACAGAGAAATATGTATCATCATTGTCATCTCTTTTCCTCTCTCTCCCCTCTCCTCTCCAATAGAGAAAGCAATAATCAGATCAATGTGAACAGGGGACTTTCCATCTTCAGTACTGCTGGCTTGACTTGAGGTCTTCCTCTTTTTCTTTCGTTCTTATTCTATTTTCAGATTCAGGTATTATTTGGCATTCCCATATTAATACTTTTTTTTTTTTTTTGAATCACATTATGTATTTATATTCTTTACATATATATATTTTTTTTGGTAAAAAATTAAAAAAAAATATACTTTTTGTGATCATCCCAAATACCATTTATGGGAAAATTCTACCATACATGAAAGTAGTTTTCTACCGTACTTATTTAGATAAAAAAATATATAGGTCATTAGATTTAGATAGGATGAATGCTAGTAATTAGATGAGTAGATAGTAAAATTAAGTAGAAAAAGTAAGGTGATTTTCAAAAAAGTATAGTTTTTTGAAAAAAAAAAAAAATAGTACTAACTTACCATTTGTTACAAACATACTTACTATTTACTGTTCATTCACTTACTGCTTGTTATGAATAAGCTCAGTATTTGAAATAGATAAATTACACTGACACCCTCTGAGATTTTTGTTTAATATAGATCTCTCCTCATGTTTAAAAAATTACACTTATCCCCTGTCAAATTAAAATGACATATTTTCCCTATATAAAATAATATTGATATGTGCATGTCATTTTAAAAGAAATAACAATAATTCTTTTTGGTTTAACTCACACAAAAAATTAATTTTTTTTTTATTTTGTTCATGTCATTTTAAGATAAATAACAATCATTTTCTTTGGTTTAACTCACACAAAAAATTAATTTTTTTAAAAAAATTTCGTGTTTTTTTATTTATTGAATTTTTAAAATATTTTAAGCATTTTTTTATTTTTATTTTTTAGACACACCTAATCTAGATATACTTAAGAAGTATAATATTTTGATATTTTTTTAAATTCAACAAATACAAAAAAAAATACAAAAATTCAGTAATACTATAATAAATGTGAATAACGGTGTTTGGTAATACTGTAATAAATGTGGATGAATAGACGAGAAAGAAAAATGAGGGTGGAAATAAAAATGAAAAATTCTATTCATATATAAAAATTTATACAAAAAATATCATAAAAATATTGTGATAATGATGTTGTTGTAAATATAAATCATATTTATGAGTGTTTTGTTTTAAAGTGAAAGGTCATCATTAAACTATATCATTGTGTTTAAAAATTTTATATAAAATTTATGTTTGCACATCATCACTCAATAAGAATATGTTTCGGTAGAATTTAATGATGAAAATTTGTAGAATGTAATCATGATGATGGAAAGAAAAAAGGGTAGGAAAAAGGGTAAAATAGTCATTTAAAAAAATTTAGGATATGACATCAGCAATCTAGGAAATAATTGGTAATGAGATTACAACCTCAGGGAAGGGAATATAATTTTTCAAACATGAGGGGGATCTATATTAAAAAAAACCTCAGGGGATGTCAGTATAATTTACCCTAAAAATATTATCAGCTAAGCATGTCACCTTCATTTATTGAAAATTGTGTCCTCTTTTACATTTTAAATTAATTTTAAACATATAAAATTAATGACACACCACATTTAACTATTTTCCCTCCATATTTTGTCTTGTTATGATTTGTAAAAAGTAAAATATGATATGTAAATATTAATTTTTTAAAATAGTCATTATCGTGAAAAATTAATTTTTGATATATTATTAAAAATAAATAGAAAAGAAAAAAAATTATAAACAAAATGTTTTTAAATGATAAGTTATTATTTATAAATTCTATATATTTTTTTAGTTTTTTAAATCCATATTTTTTTATTAATTGTTTTTATAAATTTCACAATTGTGAGTCAATTTGATAGAGTAGTAAGTGGAATATCATTGAGAAGGAAGTTATGTTTGATTAAATAATGAGTCAAATTTGATAGAATAGTAAGTAGATATTTTAATTTATTTACGATAAATAAATTGTGACAATAATTATCAATTATTATGGCAATACTTATGACTTATTCAGATAATACTTAGCATTCATAAATACAATATTTACCAATCATTGGACTCTACTTACGAATGGGTGGCTCTATTTGCACACCACCACTCATCTCAAGGCACACCACTACTCAAGGCACACCTTTAATAAATTGATAAATGGGAGCTTCTATATACACACTATGGGGACATATTTCTTGGATACCAACACGTGGCATGACGAAGCCGACATATAAGCCAAAGTGTCACATATCATGGTAGTTACGCCGAGGTGATCTCGGGGTTGCCGAGATTATCTCCGAAGATATCGGAATCCGAGATATACAGATAAGAGACAAGAGTCCTAGGACAAAGAGGAGACTTAGTCAAGATAAGGATAAAGCTCTTAGGGAGTTTATCTTTATCTCTTGAAGAATCCAAAGTCAATATTGAATCGGAGTCCATAGAAGTCAGGCTTCTAATGAGACTAGGATTGAGTAAACTATAAAAGAAAGGCACCCCCATGGGTCTAAGGTACACAATTCTATACTCAAGCTTGTGAGTTTAGTACTTGATTTATCTTTGAGAGATATACTGACTCGATCGTCGGAGTGCCCCCGGGTGGTCGAAACCACCGCGGGATTCTTATATTTCTGTTGCAGGTCAGTCAGGTGCCATCTATTCTGCTAGTGCTCTCCAGCTGGTTACTAAGCGGGCAGTGTGGTCGGAAAATCACCCACACAATTTGGCGCCGTCTGTGGGAATCTTACAAGAATAGATGGCCAGTGACGGAGAAATGGAAAACATTGGGGGCAACACTCCTGCTGGGAGTGGCAGACCAATTGATCTTGATATTGAAGAAGACAACCATAATACAGAAAATCATGACCAAGGCCACGGAGAAAAAGACGCCGGCTAGGAGGGCGGCGCTTCAAAAAGAACAGACCAAAGCAAGTACTATAACGAAGATAACCTTCAGGTTTGGTGGGATAGGTGCCTATGAAGAGATGAGGAAGTAAAAAAACCTGGCAAACAAGCTGACAGACCTTCAGTCCATCGTCAATTTCATGATGCAAAACAATGTTATGCAGCCACCATACCCGCTGCAAGATACGCCGATGCCAGCAATCAACACCCAGAAGGGAGGGAGAAAAGAAATCCCCGAAGCCCCTCAGCACAC